GTTTCTAAAATAAATGTAACAACTAATCTACGGTAGAGGAGAAACTATAATGACAAAGGAATAGGTTGTTTCAGGGGGAGATGACTGGTAGCATTATGTTTGTGAGCTAATGCAGGATGGACAATTGTGTTTGCTGTTCCCTGGGGAAGGTGGTGGACATTTTAAAAATCTCAAGAGAGGAGAAAAAACAAAAGGAAAAACTAGTTGGGTTGAGTGTGGAGCATCTCAGGTGGAGGAGGGGGAAGGGGGGCCAGAGAGCATTGCTCTTTTTACAGCACATTAAAGAGCTAAGCTGTTCTATCAGGCAAATGATTGGGATTTATCAAGAGAGCCCAGATTATAAATTCTGATGTATTGTATTTTGGTTTTTAATTTATTTTGAAAGGTCACTCAAAAAGTAGAGTTACAGCATGTTCGGGCATTGAGAAAGGGGATTTCAATATTTTTTAACATGACAATATATGCATAATGTTTAGCCATTTAGATCTTTAGATTTACACTGTCAACAACAGAATGTAACATTTTCTGACTTATCCCCCCAAAGTTATACTCTGTAAGATTTAAGTCAGTGTCGATTTTTTTAATAAAGCTGAATTAATATACAACGTAAACTTGAACAGGGCTTATTTCAAAACAACAGACCATATCTCAGAGTATGACTTTTTCACTGCCCATATAGAAAACATCATTATTTTGAACAATGAACATAGAGATAAACAGACACGCTCTCACGCATACACTAAACAAATACACATAAAGATACACACATATGTGCATACATACACACACTCATACATACAAACAACACAGAGTTTACAGACATGTACGACACATTAAACACATGTAGAAATGCACTGATACAGACACATGACATACATCGACTGTCAAACCCTGCACTGTCAATACGAAGTCATTTACTAAGCAGTAATTCATAGCACAGTCAGCCTTCCTAAAAGTACATATTTACAGACAGTCATGTCAAACAATAAGATTTCTGCTGTCTACAGTCACTCTGCTTAGAGTGATGCAGTTTGGCATGGAGTCATCATGGCTCACTGATTCAGAGCTCAGTCTGACTTGGAGAAATATGACAAAGATACATCTCGTCTTTAGAGAGGCATATATATATAATTGTCAGTGAAGAGACCATTTTAACCCTTCTTTATTTTATGTTCTGCAGCTGACCTGCACTAACCCTACAATTGGTGTATGAAACAGCAACTACCTCCTTTGGCGATTTCAGTTTTTCATTCCAGGAACATGACACATGCCTGCTCCTCTTTTCAAGGCACCACTTTCTGCCTGTCTTTCTCTTTCATTTCTCTCTTTCTTCACCCTGGGCTTCAGAAGGCACAGGTGTATGGATAATCCTGCAGTCCCTGCTGAGGAAACCAGACCCTTATAATAGTGCAGAGCATTACTTGCACCGCATATCTGAGGCTTAGAGAGTCTGCTTTGGGAACAAATCAAGCAACTGTTTAACTGTGGCATCATAGCTTTTCACACTCAAATTACGCTGTCCCTTAGTGACAAAAACGTCACTTGGTTTAACACATATTCCCACAGTTGCAGTCCCTGTCATGATCCATCTGTGCCAAAAACATATGAGAAGCCCTGTTTAAAAGTAAAGGGACTGGACAGCCCTTCAGCGAAGCACAAAATGACCAGAATACACTGTGAGCATCACTCAGCAGAGGAATAGTCCTTATGGAGCTGAGCATGAAGTGTAGAATTGAGGCCAGCTGCCAATCTTAAATAGATTGCACCCTAAGCTGATAATAATGATAAAAGTGGGGCATATAAATTCAGCCGTCAGTAATCTCTCCCTTTTTTGCAAAGTGGCTAATAAGTTAGGACACCACTAATATTGTCTTTAAAAGCAGCAGCCAGGAAGGCTAAACTAACCATATGACATACCACAATATCCCATCACTTCATGGTGAAGATGTCCCAGCGGGAGAAATCGTGGGACATGACACATTGTGAATAAGATGTGTCCAAAATGGCTGCCTACTTGACCTGTGTTGGAGAGGAAATTACATACTGTCCCTTCCACAGGCTTTCACAGGACCCAGGGGAACAGGCTGACCCTGCAACTCTCCACCAGCCTCCTCTGGGAAGGACACAACAGGCCACGCTCATTTAGCAAGAGACCACTGAATCAATAAACATCCCTGAGCCTCCTATCCCTGATGCTTTAACAGAACACCATAACTTCATATCCGCTCTAAAGTGGCCCTTCTGTCAAACCTTTCAGAAAGTGTCTCAGAACAACCTGCTGTAAGTTATCTGGCCTGACTGAGAAAGGAAGCTAAATATCAAACATCCTACAGTCTGGTACTTCACCTGTTGGCTCCAAAGCAGGGTACTTACCTGAGCAGGGTTTGGGAAAAGTATTTCAGTGTGTTTGCAATGTCTGTTCCGGAGGGCACAGGGTAAATATTGTGTTGCACACGGTTGTGATACTCTTGCAAGTATCGTATCTTAGAGGCAACTAGACAAAATAAAGAGCAGAGTAACAAGCAAATCAACTAGTGAGACTCATCATATGAATCTGAGTACACAGATAAGGCAAATGGCATGACATGCATGAAGCTGTGCTCCTGTTGCAGTTTTTTGGCCAAGATCCATGCATTTAATGCGGATGTACTAATTATCAAGTTAAACAAAGAGTCTGTGTTCCCATGGCTCTCTGGCCTTCTCCAGGTGACCTTTTTGGTACATCGGTGGGGTCACAGGCATCCCTAGAGGATGATATAACCTATTGCTTACAGAAACAAGCTTATGTACAAAAGGTTGCCAGTTCAAGTCCCAAGACAAGATGGGAAAATACAGTCAGCATGAGACAGTAAAGAGGGATTACTCATCCCTTAACATTTGATACTGAGACACATTTCAGCAAGAACCCTTTCTATGTTGAACTCCCCCCTCAGGTCACTTGTTTTATACATGAATGTGTTATTTTTGTTTGGTTTATTAGGAGCTAAATTAAGCTGAAGGGGGTGATTGTTGACCCATTTTCTGTGACTTTGGGCAGTGGTGTTTAGCTTCCTCCCTGACCTGTAGATGACAAATCCCAAAAATACAAATAACAGCTGTAGGCATTTGAGCATGTGTGGTCAAAGTCTGTGCTGCAAAACATACTGTAGCACACATGCTTCTCTCTTCTTATATCTTAATATCTTGAGGGATTTTTAAAACCTTTGATGCCTTAAAAGTAACATGCATATGTTTAAAGAAATACGGAAACAACAGCTGTCAAGTTGTTTTTCTGATGCTAGCCTGAATAATTATTCCATATTGCCCACAAACATTTTCAGAAAAATACAACTTTTAGCAAATTGAAATGGAAGCCCCCCACACATAAAGTTTGACCACATATTTGTAATGTGTTATATACTGAAAACACGCAATAGGCTATCTGATTAATAGTTTGAACAGAATTGCCAACAGGAATAAAGAAGCAAATCTAAGGATAGGGGCTGCTTTCCACCTGTTCAAAAGCAATCGGAGGAATAAGGGGGAAAATGAACAGCAGTCTTTCCGGAAGGTGTGATCAAACCACATTATTGATAAATAATAATGCCACCGTATTTTTCAGTAAAAAAAAATACTGTCAAGTCGACCTTGACATCAACAGCACACCTCGCTTTCTGCACGCGTCTCATCCAGCCACGTCAATCAAAAAAAGATAACATGACGATGTAGCCGTTGAATGATTTTTCCCTCAACATGCAGAGAAACACATATACACATTGTCTCCGGTGCTGAGCCCCCCAGCCAGCCTCTGCAATGAGAAGACGTGTTGCAACCTGCCATGGCAACCGCGGTTTCATCACCAAGGACAGCTACCCTCATTCGCTTTCTTGGTTAAAACAAAAATCACATTCCCAGTTTCCAAAACCACCATGACATGACAGGAAAAACACACACACAAAGCCGTACTTACACTGCTCCGCCTTCGTAGACATTTCGCAGACACTTGGGGGAACATAGAACCAAAACTGTCAATTGTTTTAGTGTTTTTTTCCCCTCCCCGGCGCTGTGTTTTCCTCAGTCGTGAAAAAGTGAATATACCCCCCTTGCAGCCCAGGCTCGTCTGATTGTACCACTCTGCGTGATGGATTTATACACTGTGGGTTTTCAGCGGTGGTGCGGTCGCTTTTTGCAGAATTAAATCAAAGAGTCAATTTTGTGAGACCGTTTTTAATTTTAGGAATATTATTCTTTCGTAACGGAGAGGAATGTTGATGTACATCTGCCACAGCATACCTTTCCAAATGGACTGATCCGCCTTTGACAAATTGTCATTCAAGATTTCCAGCAACCCTATCACTGCTATTTGAACTGATTATAGGAGGGGAATACCAAGGAAAAACCTATTTGGCCTGCGCATTTGTATTGTATTTGTCCTGCATATAAACATGCAACAGATGGTTGTCACATTGTTATGATCATAAGTATAACGTGATATTTTTAATCTCCACATGTTTTTTGGTTTGAATGTTTTTTGGGGATATTTACAGTAGGCTACATATTTAGTTTGTAATTGACATCATTTCCTGACTTTGGTAACAAGCAGTGCAAAAAACTATGTAGGTTCATTTTTAATCCCCAAGTAACACATAAGGCTTACAAAATGAATTATCATTACGTTTTGTTATCTAATGTACTTATACTGGCCCACCATTCGGCATGCCTGTGATAAAAATATGCATTTTTTTAAAGGAGCAAAATACAACTGAAAGATGGACTTGAAATGACCGACACTTCCCTATAGTTTGTGCCAAGAACTGTCTGTGTAATTCCATCTCTCATCCAGCTGATTAAGAGCAACATCCTGTCACTGCACCCTGGAATGACCCCTACTTCTTATTGCTTGAGAAGTTTATGCTATGAAGCAAATATTAAGCTTTTCCAAACACTGCAGTAATCACAGCAGTCAACTAATTGGCTTTCAGATTGCATGTCTTAGAAAAAAAAACAATCAATGGCAGAGATCACATCAAAGTCTTTATACAGGGAAACTGTCTCATTATAACGTTTTACATTCCTTAATAGCATTTTACACATTGGAAAATCCACAAACAATAATAGTGCACAGGTGTCTTCCTGAATGCAGAGCTCTTGCAGAAGTCAGGGTTGTTGAGATGATCTTTGCTTGTATTCTGGGATATGATGCATGATCCATCCAGCGGGGGCCAAGAGAGTCATAGCAAACGCACAGAGAGCAAGTAAAGATTGCTGTAAGAAAGTCCATGAGAAAATAAAAAGAAATGCATGAGGAAGGAGTTTTAGTACACATATCAAGGCACTGTTGTATAGCTCCCAAACGTCATCATCTACAGGTTGTGGGGATTGAACACCTGTGTCCACAACAGAAGGTCCCAAACTTAGTGACTCACCAGGTGATTTAACAGCAGACTGCATTTATATCATCCTTCCATGGTATTCCCTTTGTCCCTCTGCACTCTGGTATTCCTAACCATGAGCCAAGCTTTGTAAAAGCCCAAGTGTATGTCCCAGAGGACAGATCAACAGATTTATAGTGGCATAAACATTGGCCGCTATGTTGCAGTTCCATCATAGGATCCCTTTACAGAGGCCAGAGTTTCATACTGACTTATGGATAAGAAATGAATAAAACATCCCCCCCACTCTGCAGACTTGGGAATACAGTTTGCTTGAATTCCTCGCATTAAGGGAAATACAGTGAAATACAACAGATACTGACTCTCCAAGACAGTTTCACTGTTTGTGTGCCAACATCATACTTATATTTTAATTGATTGTAGTTTACAGTCAAACAATCTGGTTTGCCTTTCAATTCAACTATATCATACGTCTAACAAAAAAAATCAGTCCTACCCCTGGCCCGATCTTGTCCTTCGGCGGTTTGCTGTAGATTGACCTCTGATTTTGCAGAATGGCTTTCATCCGCCTGGGCCAGGTCAGTATTGGTCTCCTGAGAAGGGAAAACATCTTAACGCTCACAGAGTCACTTGCCACGACTGGAAAACAGTAGTTTTTCTGTGGAAATGTTTTCTCATGTCCTGTGAGATACTAACTGTTTTCATCTAATTCCCATCACTGTTCCTGGGAGGAGTTACTTCCATGGTCCAAAGACCTTCATGTAAACATAGGCTACTGAGCAACCTCTCATCAGGATAAGAAATCTGGCCTCGCCTATGAGAGAAAAAGGATAGTAGGGATCAACATTATAATCAATTTTTGACTATAAAGAATTGGAGTAGTTGTTCAGTAAGTCAACATATTCCACTGATCCAACATTAATTCAAAATCTTCAATGTATATGTTGTTTCCAGTAGAGTGGGTATTTTTTTAACAAGTAAACTACAATCTGCCAAGATTTAGAGTTTGAATAAGTACCAGTATCTTGTTAAATAACTATTTTTGACATCAAGTATAAAATAGAAATGCCAAAACTCTAACATTACATGATGGGAAATCATAAAGTAGACAAGCACATTCATTTATCTGAAGTAAATGATGACATATACTCACAATTAAATATATTAAATACTGTGTTAGCATTAAACCTGATCCATAGGGTAAAACATAACAAATGCAAGAAGCTTAAAAAGTACATTATTAAGTGCATTATCTACAATAACACACCACAATGTAAACATAGGGTCACTCAATTGTCTTAATAAACAACATTGCCTTGACTTGCCAGCTTACAATAGGGCTACCATTTGATTAAAGTGCTTAGGATCCTTAATTATTAATGTGAGAGCATGCAGACCGGTGAGTATAAAGATATTCACAGCCTGTCTTTGGTTTTTCAGGAGTCCCTTTCAGTTACATTTTTCCAGATTTCTTATTCAGTGTCACTTCACGTTTATGTTATTATGTCAAATTTGACGGGGCGTTTGAATGCAAATCGGCTCGTGTTTGCAGAAAAACTGCAAAAAAGACCATGGTGGCCATAGGCTTAAAATAATTCAAAAGGAAAGCTGGCCTTGGTTATAGCCTACACTGGGTGCCAAACACGTTTTGGACAACATTATATGTAATGTGTCGCCCTCAACAGGACGCTCAACGAACTTCAATCAAATGACAATACGATATTATACCATTTAATTTCAACCAGTAATGGGTCGATCATGTGTTTTTTTTTAAGTGTAAAGTGACACATTTTCATGGCCAAATTCATGTTGAAGCCACCATGACATAGCTAAAAGTTAACAATATGTTTAATTTATATTAATGATATTTTAAGTAGGCTTCCACTGGTTATGTTGCCCCCTACCTAAAAACCCACATCCTTATCTACGGGGAAACGTAATGGAAGATTTATATACCGTTTTAACGGAATTGCATTGCTAGGCAACAGGGTATTTTCTCTGAGATGTATGTGATGTTATTCACATATAACAACAGCAAATAAACTGGGACACATTAGGAATGTTAATGTGAAATGTAACTGTAAAAATATTTAAAAGACATCTTGATAATGATACGAAGCTCCAATAATCCTCATTGCCGCAAATACACCACTAGGGGGCACTCGCAATTGTGTTATTGCACAAAGGGCTCGGAGTACTGACGGGCCTCTTGACCAGTCTCCGTACAGCGATTGAGAACCTGTCAAGCTGAAGAAGATACAGGAAAGAAAGGTATTTGGCCTCCAAATATAAAGCAAATAAAGGCGCAGGACAGGCTTGCCTAGACTACCAAGACTGACTTGTAATAATCTTAACAAAAATATAACTGGTAAAATTGCATTAGTTAAAGGGTTTAAATAGATATAAATGGCTGTTATCAGATAAAGTTGTTGTTGTACACATTCAAAATGGTTACATTCCATGTTTTATTTTGAAAGTCTGACCGGAAGCACCATTTCATAATCTGGCTATCTTGAAATGGTTAGCGCTGGGATAGGCCATCACAACCACCCAAAAAGGCGTTGTGCTACCATGGGGAAATACCGAACCGAAAATAAAAATGGCTTTGGTGTAGTTTTTAGTCTAGGTAATTGCTGGAAATTCGCAAGAAAGTCGATGCAAGTGGAAATGGTCGCATATTAGGGATCAAATGTGGACGTTGACGTCGAGCCGTGCGTAATGAGCAGAGTTGGAAAAAGAAGGTGTTGAGCTGCATTTTTTTCTCTCTCTGCCAGGGACAACTTGGGTCGGAGTACTGTCTGAACTACGAGGTGATACGAAGGTAAAAAAAAATGCCCACGAAGCTCTCCACTTTCTGGTAAAAAATATTTCTAAACAGTTGCATTGCATCCTGCTCGAAGTACATTTCTGTTTCCGATGGAGAACGTTAACGGTAAAGTCAAAGCGACACAGAGCAGAGATAGCTAACCCTAGCCTCCTAGGATATGCTACTAATTACAGGGCTGAGGTGAATATGACTCCTCTCGCCAGGCTGTCGCCAAATATTTGGACATTACTTCCCTTTTTTATCAGCTGAGGCAAACAACCCACTTGGTTTTTCCTCGTACAAGCACTTTTAACTAGGGCTTCCGCTGGGCACCGATAGCCCCCCGATAGCCAAAGAGCAACAATAGCTCCGCGTAAACGTATGGCTAACAAAGCCATCGCAAATGATTATTTTCTGTACTGCTTACAGAGGGGAACACTTCCTCCGTTTTTGTGAGGCTTGGTAGATGGAAAAGTTCGGGATGAATGTACATTTTAACTCTGCAGATACACCTACATGTTGCTGTTTATTGCCTCTGTGTCAGATAGTTGTTGATAGGTTGTGCTATGGCAACAATGTGGCCTGCCATTAATTGCAATCTATAGCATACTTGTGGAAAATGTTTTATTGATATCAGAGTCATATAATAATTTCCAGTAGTCAAATATCCAGTTTATACTTGAAGGTCAGGTTGTAGGTATTCTGTTTTGTTTATAGTTTATTATTTGCCTGAGCCAACAACATATTCCAATCTTACTGTTTTTTCTTTAACAAGGTGTATAATATATGTAAATTCCACCATCTATTTAATTGCTGAAGAGCCATATGCACACTGTGGTAATCCTGTGGTAATCTCACTGACATTCGTGCTGGACTCAGCATTCTGTACACCCTGCCTCCCTCTGAAAGACAACCTGTGTATCACTCTGTCTTTTCATTTGGAAAAGGTGCATTCACTGCGCTCTGCAGCATATAGGGTTGTCATTTTACCAGGTTAAGTATTTGTGTCAGTGCTCCAGGGCAATATAATGACATGTAATTATTGCACTTACATGCTCAGAAGTCAATGACAAGCATGAAAGGCTGCAAACCTGCAAGTACTCGCCACAGAGTGACTGAATGAGCTGGACTTTGGCCTGAGTGTTGTTTACCCTGGCCAGTTGGATGGAGAACTCAACAAGGAGCATTGACAACTCACTTAAAATGAGCACTCATTGTTACCCAGGCTGCCATTCATTCTTTTGAGGTTGACCGCCAGGCTGTGTTTATATAGTCATTAGTGTGTGCTAACTTAACATTTATTTATTTAAAAGATGGCCCTGTTTGTTTGTTTTCCTCAGAATGTCATTCATCCGTTCAGTTGTTGTCACTTTAGGTGGCCTCGTGTTAACCCAAAGGTCTTAAAGAAAATACGTTGTTAAGGCTGATACAATTTCATGTGTGAAGCCCTCTTTTTTATGTTCTTACAATGGCCTGCAGAGCAAAAAAGATACTATCAGCTGAGAACATAGTCTGTGAAATGGTAAATATTCATCACTAGGGTTCATATTGTTGGTTGACTGGCTAATCCCGAGGCTGCCCACCATGAGTCATCACTGTGGAGACTTTTGTTTCCTCTGTCTGTCTGTCATTTCAGTGTGTTGCTGTTTTCTAGTCCGTTCTGACTCCTGTAGTTTCCTGTAGCTCTCCTGGTAGAGAGTCTGTAATCAGTTGAATGGCCTGATTAACTGTAATTCTGATTGCAAGTTAAAGGGCTGCTGAATTGTGTCATTTCAGACAACATATCACATCATTATTTCATTTAGAGAGAGTCATTTATTCTGTTTTATTTTTGTATCCACATGCAGTCCATATTCCCTTACACACGTTGTTGCGAGATGTATACGGACACATCAATACGGTGGAGGTCACTCCGGCAGAAGGTTCCAGCTCACTGCTGCATTGCCTAAAATGTCCCCTTCTGATTGTATCAAATATCCAAACAGTCTAAAAGGAATATCTGACGCTCTATTTTCTAACCGTACATGTCATTTAAAAGCTTTACTGTCAGCAAAACCTTCCTTTTTCTGATATACCTCTAAACATATCATCTGAATTGCTAACAATGGATTAGTTGACATATTTCCTGCATTTCTTCTGTATAGTTGTATGCTGGGCCACAACATAAATTATCTACACTTCTCCTAGGATCAGTGTGATGGCTGGGACAAGCCAACAGTGGACTAATACAAATCCCCTTTTTAATTAAATTATATCAAACTGTGTATTTAAGAGCTCTGACACATTTATTGCACTTTACAGCTACTGTGTAATTTTAAAATAGTGCTTTGAGGGGATGTATTTCTACAGTTGCTGCTCTTTCAGGCAGACCTGAATGTGATATTGGCACAGTGATTGCTCCTCTTTGTAAGATTAGTGGCTGTGTCATTGAGCCTAACAAAGATTACTGTCAAAAGGTGGTGATTACATCATTTCATTCATAGAACTCACAGTGGGACCAATGGAGAGCACATCACCTAGGTGTCTTTGTGCCATTTGAGCAAATCAATGGGACAACTACTCTACAATAATCGGAAAGACAAGAAATATAAAATTCTCAATCATCTGCTACACTGCCCAAGTCATTTTCCACATTACTTTTGATTGCTGAAGACTTGTCATGCTGCCCTAGCTTCATTACAGCTGTCACTTTGATTCAACATATTGGCTGTGTGTTTCATTAGCAGAGCTCTGGATGGCCGGTAAAAACCTGCTTTGAAATAATAAGAACATGCTCCTGAATTTTTGGGGTTTCAGACAGGAAATGAGAACCAGATACCTACTGCTTCCCCCTTCTTTTGCCATGATGAGGAAATCTACATAAATGATTGATAAAGTGCC